GAGAAGAAAATAATAGGAAAAATATTTTTAAAATAGTTAAAGAAATTATAAGATACACAATCTCAGAAATGTGTAGCTATAAAGGCCTACGTTCAAGGATTTGTATATTTGTTTTTGAGGGGTGGGAGGGCTGGCTCAGGCTGTCTTAAGGGTGGGTCTGGTAAAGCAGGTGGAGCTGGGAATCGAACTAGGATCCCCTGGGCCTGACTAGGTTTGCCAGAGCAAGGCCTACTTTCAGAAAAAAAAAAAAAATCTCAGGTCAATAAACTACCTCTGACTGGGTTTGCCAAAGCAAGGCCTACTTTCAGAAAAAAAAGTCTCAGGTCAATAAACTACCTCTGACTGGGTTTGCCAGAGCAAGGCCTACTTTCACACACACAAAAAAAATTTCAGATCAATAAACTACCTCTGACCTTACAGAACTAGAGGAACAACAACCTAAACCAATGTACACAGAAAGGAAATAATAGAACATTAGAGCAGAGATAAAATAAAAGTAGGAAATTAATGAAATGAATAAACCCTTGTTGGTTCTTTGAAAGGTCAACAAAATTAGCCAACTATCAACTAAACCTCTTAGAGATCTAATTTTCTGTGAATCAAGAATCAAATGGATTAGTATCATTACTAAAATGAAAAAAGTTCTAAAAGAATACTATAAATAAATGTATGCAAACTAACTGAACAATATAGATGAAATGGCAAATATACAACTATAAATAGTGAAAAAGAAGACACATACACTGAAAGACCTAAAGCAACATTTTACATCAGTAATCAAATTTCCTCAATCTAATAAAGGGCATCTAAGTCAAACTTATAGCTAACATCTTCCTTAATAGTGAACAACTAAAACCTTCCTCTGTAAGAGAAGGACAAGGGTGCATACTTTCATCAGAAGGGGAAATATAGATCAGCTGTTTCACAGCTACAGTACCTCAGGGTGGCAAGATGGAAGTGTTCTGGAGATTGGTTGCACTACAATGCAAAAATGCTGAACATTATTAAGCTTAAAATTTAAAACACCGGGGCCGGGGAGATGGCTCAGTGGAATAAGCGCTTCCCTGGCAAGCATGAGGGCCTGAGTTCAATCCCCGGTTCCGCAAAAAAAAAAAAATTAAAAGACCAATGTGTACTAAGTTACAGTCAGGAGCAAGAAGCTGTGTTGGGCTATGTATATTTTATTGTGCTTTTAAGTCTTAATTTTTATGAATGTATGAATGACCTACAAGCTAATATCATTCAGTAGGTATCAACCTTACACTTATCTTTACAACTAGAAATGTAAATTCCATTTCTTTTCTCTATTCTGTGACTGAGAAAACACAAGCATCTGAATACATTAGTTAGTAGGACCTGTCTCTCAAACATAGTCTTCTAAAATTCAAACTGGGGCCTGGGAGATGGCTCAGTAGAATAAGTGCTTCCCTGGCAAGCAGAAGGGCCTGAATTCAATCCCCGTTCCGCAAAAAAATAATAAAAATAAAAATAAATAAATAAAATTCAAAATTTTTTTAAATTCAAAATTTTAAGGGTCTGCTTTACTCCAAGTATATTTCTAAGTACTAAGAGACCTGGAATAAAAAAAAAGTCTAAATTTATCTACCTAAGCCAAAAAGATAGTAAATTTCTTCATTTTTTATACTTCTTTATCCAATAATGCTAACATGTTTAGTTATTCCTAAGAATGCTTCAATCTAGGACCAACGAGATAGCTGAGCAGACTAAGCACCTGCTTAGGCAAGCGCAGAGACCAGGCTTCGATCCCTGGCATCACATGACACGTTGGCACCGGCCTCACTCCCAGGCACACTGAACTGGCAACCAAGTCCTGGGGTGGTGGTGCACACCTATAATTCCAGCGCCGTGGAGGTTGAAAACAGGAGGATCACTATGAGTCCAAGCTGCATAGTGAGACCATGTACAAAATTTAAAAAAAAAAAAAAAGCTTCAATCCCCTTTTCCTATAGATACCAAAAATTTAAGAGTTATCCAGTTCTTAAAGCTTCTGCAAGGGGCTGTTAAGATGGCTCAGTGGTCTAAAGCACCTTCTTAGAACAAGCTAAGCTAAGCAAAGCACAGGCACCACGGTTCAATTCCCCAGCACCACATGCCAGCCAGCCCCGCCCCCTGGTGGGCTGAGCTGGCCACACACACACACACACACACACACAAATAAATAAATTAAAAAAAAAATTTTTTTTAAAGCTTCTGCAAGAACAGCTTGTACAGATAGGGAAAAAATGCAATCATCAATGTCATTGTCACTTAGGAGGTTCCCACCTTGATCACCCTTAAAGTCACTAGAGTGCTCTATCTGAGCCAGGTCATTATGCTACTGAGCCCCTGCTACTACCAGTGCTGCCAACATCTGATAATATACAATAATATAAACATATCATAAATCAACTAAAAACTAAACTACATTTTCAAAAAGGCAACCTTTATTCATAAAGTTAAAAAGCACATATGTAAAAATTGCTTGGAATCATGTAAAGTGTACAAATAAATGAGATCAATTAATTTTAAAAAAAAATCAACAAAGGTAACAGTAAGCTCAAAGGAATACTTCTGATTAAGGATTAAGGAATTTCTTGGAAAAACTGAAGAAATCCTCATATTTTTGAAAGAATGTTCTATACTGCACTTATAGTGCACAAGTGAAAATTGGTAGCATTTGCCTCATACGGATTCAGAATCCAACACAGCAAACAATGTGCAACTCCACTGTTACACCTGGCTCCAAGCAAGGTGCAATTTAAAAGACTATCTTTGGTCTGCAGAGATAGCTCAGCAGTCTAATCATCTGCCTAGCAAGTGTAAAGACCCAGGTTTGATCCCTAGTACTGCATGCTGTGCCAGCCACAAAGACTGGGAATGGTGGTGCATGTGTGTAATCCCAGCGCTGGGGAGGCTGAAACAAGAGGATCACTATGAATCTGAGCTGTGCAGTGGACCCTGTACCAAATACATAAGAAAAATAAAAAATAAAACTAAAAAAGAATTTTCCATTTATTCATTAAATTAAATGTAAAAGTAACATGTGATTAATATATTAATAAACTAAAACTTTAAAATATCAAATTCATACTCTAGCAAATTCTTCACATAAGGATTAATAACTAAGTACAGTGGCAAGAGAGAGCTCAAAAGAACTACAGAATGAATTTGCAAATATAAAAAGACTTCCAGAAACTTAGAGCAACACTTAACATTCTGTTTCTGAGACAAAAAAGCCAAACTGACAGATCTATTATCCTCTTGTAGGCCATCTACCAAGTTGTTGTTGTTTTTTTTTTTTTTTTTTTTGAGGTTTTTTAGAACCAGGGATTGAACTCAGGCCCTTGTGCTTGCCAGGGAAGTGCTTATCCCACTGAGCCATCTCCCCGGCCCTTAACTACCTGTATTTCTTACCATTCTCCTGAAACTGGCAGATCTAAAATTATATTTTATTTCTTCAGAAGTTTACTGAGGCTTTTTCTGTGAGATTTCCCAGATAAATCAAACCTGAATCAAATAAGTAAATATCTTCACAGAGATTTTATTTTTCCTTTAATGAAGAAATATACATTTACTGAGTTCTTTAAGTATATGAGAACAATTTAATTCTTAAATATGCTCAGAATCATGCCCAAAAGTATTGAGATAGAGAAGCAATGATGTCAAGGAAGGGTATCTTTTAATAATATAACCCAATATTTTCTATGAAGGAGATTTATTCAAAATGTTTTAGGATGAAGATCATTTTTCACATGCAGTGTTTTGAAGGTGGGTCAAGGAGACAAAGTATAGCAGCCACCAGAGAAATTATAGGTACTGCCTTGGTCATTTATGCTATATTCTTTTATTTGTTCATCATTGATATTTTGATTTAATATTGTCAAATATTTAATGTCTTTTATTGAATGCTTAAACCCTCATCCAATGTCTCATGTTCATTAATTAGTGAGATCAGGGTTTGTCTGACCGCAAAGCTTACTGTAATTTTTCCAATACCAAGTTTGCCCACTCAGGATATGAGTAGAGAGAGGGCTTCGCTCTCCAGCATACATTCCATTCATTTAGGATGAGAGGAGATCAAACTCTATATAGTGAAAGTCAGTCACAGTGTGACATTGGTGGCACTACGATTGACTTTATGGCTAAAAGAAAAGAATCAGAGGATGGTTGTACTCAGCCTATTAGGTGCACCCTTGATTTTATTTTGTTCTCACTACGCTAGGACAAACAGCCTCAGATTGCTAAGGTATTATTCTAAAGCAATAGAGAGAGGATATCCTAGTAGCCAAACTATGACAATGAACGCAAAGACAATGAGTAACCCAGAAAATTCCAAGGCAAACAATTATTATCATCCTCCACAAAGTGTATTAGCACATTCATTTCCATTAGCATCTTGTAAGCAGGCAGGATAGGAAAATTAATCAAATATCATGCCCAGATACCAACCTAATTCTATTATATAGTAGCCAGGAAATATCAGTAAATATTATATACTGGAATTCGAAACCTTTCTTTACTGACAGGGATCTGAACCAATGATATGTAGAAGCTGGAAAAAGAAGAAATGTATATCATGTTCTGTGGATCAAAATTATAAATAGATTCAAATTGGTTAGAATAGATATATAGTTATATTCTCTTAATGAATAGAGGGATTTGTTCTAATAGT